GCATAAATGAAATTTTAAAGCCGTAAGAACTAATCTTTTTTATGCATTTCAGTTGCACGATGGACTGGAAATCGGCCGCCAAATAGACAAAGATGAACGGCGTCGCTTCGCATTTTTTACTGAAATTTTGTTGAGTAAACTATAAACAAAAAATCGCACGATCTTCTCGTACAATTTGGAATTAATAGACACTCGTAATGTTTTGAAAGTTCTTTAATTGTACTCGCCTAAAGGCTCGTGCAATTACAAGAACTTTCAAAACATTACTCGTGTCTATTAATTTCCAAATTGTACGAGAAGATCGTGCGATTTCCTATACTAATAATGGCCAGCATTTAGTATTACTTCTTACAACAAATACGCTCAAATGACTTTCCCACCCATACTAAAAGCGCTTTAAATGTGTGTCGACATGCGGAACGAATATCCGCAAACCTTATCAAATAAATTAGTGGGTTTATACTGGAGTTAAGACATATTACGATAACACCTACTGAATAAAGAACATTTTTTTGGTCTTGACGTAAGATTTTCCCGAAAAGAAAAAAATACAATAAAGGTACGTTGCAAAATAGAAGACAGACTAGTACCACAAGCATAGTCTTTAAAGTTTTCTTGTATCTGACAACATCAAAGTTACCAGCCAACGGGTTTGACTGTTGGGCGTCAACTTGAACTGTGTGAAGATGAAGTGCTCTGAAAGACTTGATGTAGAAAACACATGTCGTTAACAAGAGAACCATGTAACCAAAGTTAATTGTCTGGGTAATAATGTCTTGGTACTTTTCAAAGTTTCTTAAACTTGCTCCCAGAAAAGCCAAAACACAAACGAAAACAATCATGTAGCGAACTCGTTTCTTGGTGACAATAATGGTGTATCGATGTCTTAGAGTAAGAGCCAAGTATCTGTCTATACTGATACACGTTACAATAAGGAGCGAAAGCGAACCAAGGGCAATGAAAAAGAATGAGAATAAATAGCTACATATGCATAATCCTCGAATATTGCCATGCAAGATGAAAGTACTGCCTATAATCACTATCGGATGAATCACCAAACCAACCAGGAGATCTGTGAAGGCTAAACTTGTTATCAGTAAGTAGGATGGCGTCTGTAGATTCTGGGATCTCAAGATGGCCACGATAATCATTCCATTCCCGAGTGTTGCAGTGACTGCCAAAATAGCATTCACAAAAATATTAATACTAAACACATCCATCAACTCGGACCTAATACTCATAATATCTTCGATGAATGACTTGTATAAACTTGGGCAGTTTTCAAAGGAAACATTCATGTTTGAGCTTGAATCTAAAGCAAAGCAAGACTGAATGCGAGGATTTCTCCTGAATGTAATTGCGTTAAAACAGGTGCACGAAATCTTCAGTTCAATGTATTTCAGTATTCATGTAAAATGCTTCCGAGGCTGAATAATTGAATTAAAAGGTAACCAGACCTTACCTCCCTAGCTCGCTCAATAGGTTTGTGTCTTTTTTGGTTGTCGATGACAGGAATTGTTGTCAAAAAAAATTAATTTTTGATTTTTAATTAATCTCTGCTATTGTAGTACGGGACAAGATCTCTATTGTGTCTATTTAGCCAGAGAATAAGACGTCGCTGCTTCTAAGAAACTGGGAATCAGTATCAAAAACAGTAAAGTATGATGTCAAATCAATAGAAAAAATCACTTCATAACAAGGCAATGTACTTAGAGGTTGGTTTTACTTTTACCCTCAGGACCCAGTTGTATACGACGGATAAATCCTTATCCAGTGGATAACTCGATGCTGTTATCCAATACATTTATCCACTGGATAAGATTTAGCCGTAGGATAGCGCTATCCAGGTTTCGTACAACCGGGCTCAGGAAGCCAATTACTAAACTTTTGTAATATTTAGAAACCAAATTTGCTACTAGGTGAAGCCTTGTAGAACCAATTTTCCGTGAGCCCCGCCAAGATTTTTGAAAAAGAAACTAAAAATAAATAAAAAAATAGATATTACTTCAACTAAACTAACTGTGGTTAAAGTAAATATGTTTACATATTATCCTAATAACCTCAGGAAAACACTACACCTTGACGTAGACTGGACTGAACGCGATACTCTAAAAATACAGGTTGTCTTTTGGAGAACTGCTCGTCGAGTTCAGTAAGTAGGACTGCGTTTGTAGGTTCTGTGATCTCAAGATGGCCACGATAATCACTCCATTCCCCAGTGTTGCAGTGACTGTTAAAATAGCATTCAGGATAACATAAATATCAACCAACTCGACCCTAATATAATCTGCGATCAATAACTTGGCATAGCTTTGACAGTTTTCAAACGATCTGTTCATGTTTGAACTTGAATCCAAGGGCAACTGAGCAAAACTGAACCGCGTGAAGATTTCTCCAGATTCTGCTTGTGATAAAACAGATGCACAAAATCTTCAGTTCAGCAAGAAATCATCAGTGCAATCCATTAATTCATTGAATACGGTTCCAGGGTTGAACAATTAAAACAGCAGGTAACTGGGCCTTACCTTCTTAGCTCGATGATTACATTTTTGTTTTTATTGGCTGTCAATGAACGGAATCTTCGTAAAAACGCAGGTGTCGCCGGCTTGGTCCTAGCGTCTATTCTTGGAGTGCAACCACGTGTCCCAAAAATCCCTCGAGATAGAAATACCAATGAAACAACCGCCATCTTCGTTGATCTAACAAGTAAAGCTTAATGAGGAATGCTTTTTATGGTCAGCCAACATGGCGGTTATGACTTAACGTGCACTGCAAGAATTATGTTTTCAACAACCGGTGGTTTCCCCATCATGTCTAAGTCAACAACTCAAACAAGTTCAATCTCATAGTTTGCAAGCTGACTGCTGAGATGCAATTAGAAGCTGGACTTCGGCAACTGTGGACCGGTACATAGCCCCGCTGCTAAAGACACAACACATGTTCCATTTATAGTAACACCCTTTTCGTGTTCTTTACGGTATTTTCGCTGGTCCCTCAAATGCAGTTTTTTAGCGAAGGAAAAATATTGAGGGAGAAAGGTTCAAAGTTACGTACTACTGTGGGATGTCTAAAAGATTGCACGTAAGCGAATACATAAAAAAGTAAACAAATAATATTATTAATAATAACAATTAAAACAATTTAAAACTTCGTTGGAAAGAACGAAGAAAACCGGTCGCATGAAAAGTCAGTCTAGAATGAATTCCTTCCCTTGAAAGCCCACCGTTTACCGTTGACATCATCAAATACCATAGTAACCTTTGCCATATCATGCCTATCACGCTTCTGAACACATCCACAGTATTGATTCTACATGGGGTAAGATGTTGAATAATCCGAAAAAATATTTAAAGTTTGAGCGCGGCTTCTTGAAGTTATGAAGGTTTTACCATGTCATATGCTAATGCTGTGACGTAAGAGAAGGCATTTATGATTATTTGTTGTTCCCCGTAATTCCAAAAACCGCCTACTAAGTGAAAACTAATTGCAATATTTTCTATAAGATCAATGGATAAAACATTAATGTATTTCAAATTCAATCTATCTATGCTTGTAATGTTTTGTATATTGAATGATTACTCCTCATGCGTCACAGTATTAAAATATGGCATGGAAAAACCTTTATGACTTCGAGAAGCCGAAAAAAAGCCAGAGAAAAGGGCCCCCAATTTGCTAAGTTTCGCACAAACATTATTTCAAAAGCATCACCGAATCTAATGGAAATAAAATCAAGCTATAGGTTAGATTCCGCACCTGTAAAATTCGACGTTTAAACTGTCTATGGTTTACATGTGGGTTGTAATCAGTTTTCTTGTCTAATAATGGCCAGCAGTTAATATTACTACTTACAACAAATACGCTCAAATGACTTTCTCACCCATACTAAAAGCGCTTTAAGTGTGTGTCGACATGCTGAACGAATATCCACAAACCTTATCAAATAAATTAGTGGGTTTATACAGGAGTTAAGACATATAAGGATAACTCCTACTAAATAAAGAACATTTCTCTGGTCTTGACGTAAGATTTTCCCGAAAAGGAAAAAATACGATAAAGGTACATTGCAAGATTGAAGACAGACTAGTACCACAAGCATCGTCTTCAAAGTCTTCTTGTATCTGACAACATCAAAGTTACCAGCCAACGGGTTTGGTTGTTGGGCGTGAACTTGAAGTGTGTGAAGACGAAGAGCTCTGAAAGACTTGAAAACACATGTTGTTAACAAGAGAGCCATGTAACAAAAGTTAATTGCCTTGGTAATAATATCGTGGTACGTTTCCAAGATATTTAAACTTGCTCCCAGAAAAGCCAAAACACAAATAAAAACAATCATGTAGCGAACTCGTTTCTTGGTGACAATAATGATGTATCGATGTCTTAGAGTAAGCGCCAAGAATCTGTCTATACTGATACACGTTACAATAAGGAGTGAAAGCGAACCAAGGAAAATGAAAAAGAATGCGAATAAATAACTACATATGCATAATCCTCGAATATTGCCATGCAAGATGAAAGTACTGCCTATAATCAGTATCGGATGAAATACCATCGAAATACCATATCGGAATGGAATGATTATCGTGGCCATCTTGAGATCCCAGAACCTACAAACGCCATCCTACTTACTGATAACAAGTTTAGGTTTCACAGATCTCCTGGTTGGTTTGGTGATTTATCCGATACTGATTATAGGCAGTACTTTCATCTTGCATGGCAATATTCGAGGATTATGCATATAGTTATTTATTCTCTTTCTTTTTCATTTCCCTTGGTTCGCTTTCACTCCTTATTGTAACGTGTATCAGTATAGACAGATACTTGGCGCTTACTCTTACACATCGATACACCATTATTGTCACCAAGAAACGAGTTCGCTACATGATTGTTTTAATTTTTGTTTTGGCTTTTCTGGGAGCAAGTTTAAATATCTTTGAAAATTACCAAAAGATTATTATGCAGGTAATTAACTTTGGTTACATGGCTCTCTTGTTAACAACATGGGTTTGTACATCAAGTCTTTCAGAGCACTTCATCTTTACACAGTCCAAGTTCACGCCCAACAATCAAACCACTTGGCTGGTAACTTTGATGTTGTCAGATACAAGAAAACTTTGGCACTAGCCTGTCTTCTACTCTGCTACGTAACTTTATCGTATTTTTTCCTTTTCGGGAAAATCTTAGGTCAAGACTATAAAAATGTTCTTTATCCAGTAGGAGTTATCCTAATATGTTTTAACTCCAGTATGAACCCACTAATTTATTTGATAAGGTTTGTGGATATTCGTTCCGCATGTCGACACACATTTAAAGCGCTTTTAGTATGCGTGGGAAAGTCATTTGAGTGTATTTGTTGTAAGTAGTAATGCTAAATGCTGGCCGTTATTAGACAGGAAAACTGATTACAACCCCCATGTAAACCATGAGGAGACAGTTTAAACGTCGAATTTTACATGTGCGGAATCTAACCTACAGCTTGATTTTATTTCCATAAGATTCGGTGATGCTTTTGAAATAATTCTTATCGTACAGCCGGGCCCAGGAAGCCAATTACTAAACTTTTGTAATATTTAGAAACCAAATCTGCTACTGAGTGAAGCCTCGTAAATTCAATTTAACGTGCCTCCCACCAAGAATTTTTGAAAAAGAAGCTAAAAATAAAGTAAAATTAAATATTACTTTAACTAAACCAACTGTGGTTAAAGTAAATATGTTTACATATTATCCTAATAACCTCAGACACTGCACCTTGACGTAGACTGAACTGAAGGCGAAACTCTAAAAATACAGGTTGTCTTTTGAAGAACTGCTCGACTGACGAGTTCAGGTTTTCACGCACAAACATGGAAGGCATTGAAGAGTGCCCCCGGTCAGTGAGCAGTTTTCTTACAACCCAATTAACTGATACCAAAAATAATGATAATCTATTCATTTTAACAATTGTGATCAACGTCATTTTAATGATAACAGCAACGCTGGGGGAATGGATGGATTATCGTTGCCATCTTGAGGACACCGAACCTACGAACGCCATCCTACTTACTGATAACAAGTTTAGCCTTCACAGATCTCTTAGTTGGTTTGATATTTCATCCATCGTTTATAATGTGGAGTTCTAACTCGTTGCAAAATAACTTTGCTCGTATTTGTGTCCTAGCGAACGTTATTTTATTCATTATCTTTTTTCTGACTGGACTTTCATTTGTCATGGTTACATGCATCAGTATAGACAGATACTTGGCGCTTACTCTAAGACATCGATACACCATGATTGTCACCAAGAAACGAGTCCGCTTATTGA